TTATGTGATTTGATATTGATTGTTGTCTCCGAGCCATCAATAAGTTATTATATTTATGTTTGCTTACTGTGTCCTAGCTTCTTGTTTGTTTTGTTTTGATATGCCTAAATAGGCTGCTCGTGTGAGCTAGTTTGATTATTGATGTCTTTGAAGCTCTTACATCTTGTCTCTAACTGGTTAGATCTGTTGCTAGGTATGTGAGCCCAGGAGTCCATTTACTTTTCTTGTATCGATTCAGCTTAGGTGTCTAGGTAGTTGGTCACCAAGTGTGTGGTGTATACTCTCACCTACAGTTCTAGACGGGCAGGAGTGATTAGAGTAGGCACAGGTGTGTGGCTGCTGTACGGGGTCATGTGCTGAGCAAGGCAGGGGGCTGACAGCTGCCCCTGAGTTTCTGGAAGGAAAGCGTGCCCGTTACCTAGAGTGCATAGGTGGGTGGGTTTTGCAGCTGCACTATGGGCACTCAGTGCTGTTGGCTGTGAGGACTGGGAGGTGCCACTTATTCTTAGACCCCTGTCACGGGTGGCTAGGTGGCATGGGTGGATCCACCATTGCTCAGGCCCCTGATATGGGTAGGTGAGGACACTGTTTAATGGGCGGAGTGGTGTAAAATGTTATGAACCTGCCACTCCACTATATAGCTGAAGTTAGACTTTAGGTATATACCCTGTTGTACTGTGCTAATGAGGCCCTACACTGTTGAAATGGGTCCACAGAGGTCTATGCAGGAGTGAAAGGCATTGAAAGTCTGTGGACCCCTTATGCCTGTGCCTAGGCAAAGGAGCTGTGCCTGCCCTGAGTTCCTGGCTTAAGGAGCCTGCAGATTATTTTTTCCTGTTTGTTAATTTGTTTCCTCTCCAACGCCAGAAGAATGGCTCGGTGTGCAAGGAGCCCTACTTCTGGCCCAGGGTGTGCAGCAATCGCTGAAGCCTCCCCAGGACCTGTTGCAGAGCAGGGAGGGAGCAGGTAAATGGGAGAGAGTTTCTTCCTAAACGGGGTGTTTTTTGATCCACGTGGTAGGTTAGATGCTTATCTTTTGCCGATGAGCACCACTTTTCACTGGTTCTGGAGGCTTGAATAGACTCTCTGCCACTCGGTCTCTCCTGCTGGGGAAAACGTGTCCCAAGTGCCACTGCTTGCCTCACCATACACACCAGCCAATCCAGCCTGCAGTGTGCTGGCTCCCATCGGGTCAATTCTGGCAACTCCTCACTGCTTCTGAACCATCTTTCCCTCCCCCTGCTGCTCAGTCTGATTCCTCAACTTTGCCTTTGATGTTCAGGGCTCCTAGATTGTCATATATAATCAATTCACTTGTTTTTTTGGGTCTTTGTTGTAAGTGGGACCACAGGGAAGTGTCTGACTACTCCATCATCTCGGCCCCACCTGTGGAAGAGTTTTAAGGTGCCTAACAGTACATGCCTAGATTTCCTTGAAGAGACAGCCAATGGAATTATGGACATCAAAGGCAATTCTGGTGAGGGCTCAGAAGTAGGTACGAGGGGCTGTAGAGAAAGTCTCTGTTGTCTTAGAGAATACATATGGCGCCAGCAACAGAATGTTGCTAGAAATGCGGGCATTAAATGTGCTTCTGGCAAGGCTTTAAAAGAAAATGATGAACATGTGATTAAACAATGTAGGAAGGATGATTCTTTTTATGCAGTGGCAAAGAACTTGTCTGAATTACGTTCAAATGTTTGATGGAAGGTAGAACTGAACTTGTAAGTGACAAACTTGGATATCTGGCTGAGAAAATTTCTAAGCAGGATCTTAAAGGGGACTTGTGGTTTCTCCTTGCCACTTATAGTAAAATGCGAGAGGAAAGAGACGGACTTAAAAATGAACTGTGCAAAATGAAAACAAAACTTAAGGATTTAGAAAATTCTGTTGTACACAGTAAGGACACATGTCCTAGAATGTTCATGAAGGGCGTGGCTACACAATCTTTTGTTAAAGAGATTAAGCCTATAACTGATGAAGCTAACCAACTAGCACAGCAGAAAACTCATCAGCTTAGACTGAAGGGATCAGAGACAGAAAAGGAAAGAAAGCTGTCTGCCTCTTGGAATTCTACAGGCAGGAAACACACCAAAGGAACTATATTTGCTGTCCTCCAAGGAAAGAAAAGGACCATACCTGGAGCAGCTTAGAGATCAGCAGAACTGTTGGAAGAAGCATGGAAAGCAGGGTCTTCTAAGTTTCAAAGGGTGGGGCCATGGTCTCCTGGATCTCAAAGGATGGGGCCACAACCTCCTAGGTTTCAAAGAGTCGGATCTTTGCCAACTTTGTTCTGCAGTGTGAGGCAACCGTTAAGATGTGCCACTGGAATGGGACTACTGCCCAAAGCTAAGGGGGCGGGACTGCCATGCCCAGGTAGCAGAAGAATGGGGCTTGCCAGAGCCAATAGGGTGGGTCATCACTCAGATGGACTAGGAGAATGGGGCCACCCAAAGCCAAGTGAGAAGAGTTGCCATCCCAGTGTGCCTGGAAGGTGAAGCTGAAGCCCAGGGCCGAGGGGCCTCTACCCAGAATCCAGAGAGTGTGGCCACCACCCAGAGTCTGGAGGGTGGGCCATTGCCTAGATGGTCTCAGAGAAGAGATGATTATTTTTAAACATCAAGAGGTAATGTGATTTGTTCTGCTGGCTTTTGGACTTACTTGGTGCCTGTTATCCCTTCTTTCCCTCCAGTTTCTCCCATTTGTAATGGAAATGTCAACCTTTGCCTATTCTACCTTCTACTTTGGAAACAGATAACTTGTAGTCTAAATTTCACAGGTTCACATATGAAGAGAAATTTTTCCCCAGGATGGAATACACCTAAAGTCTCACCCAAATTTGATTTTGATAATTCAGAGGATGAGATTTTGGACTTGGAGTTGATTTAAGACTTTTGGGATGATGTGATGCAGTGAATGTGTTTTGCATGTGGCAAGGACATGAGTTTTGGAAGGCTATAGGGTCACTATGAGTTGTAATCGACTTGATGGGAACGGGTTTTGTTTTAAAGTGTGGAATGGTATGGATTGAATTGTGTTCCCCAAAATTATGTATTGTGAATCCTAGGGTTTATGCCTGTTGTTATAATCTCATTTGGGAATGGGTTGTCTTTATTATATTAATGAGGCAGGATTATTGTAAGGGTGTGTCTTGAGTCAATCTCTTTTGAGATATAAAAGATATTAAACAAGCAAGGGAGAAACAGAGATGGGGGAAGATTGATGCCAAGCCACATGGAGATCTCTAAGGAACCAGGAAATGGAAGCTGAAGAGACAACGACCTTCCCCCAGAGCCAACAGAGAGAAAGCCTTCCCCTAGAGCCGGCACCCTGAGTTCAGATTCTAGCCTCCTAAACTGTCAGAAAATAAATTTCTGTTTGTTAAAGCCATCTGCTTGTGGTATTTCTGTTATAGCAGCACTAGATAAGTAAGACAGCAACAAACAAACTTTTACCTTTAGTTTTTATTATTGTTTTGTGCCGTCAAGTCACTTCCAACTCATAGTGATCCTATAGGACAGAGTAGAACTGCCCCATCGGGTTTCTGGGAGCAACTGGTGGATTCAAACTGCCAGCCTTTTGGTTAGCAGCCTGAGCGCTTAACCACTTTGCCACCAGGGTTCCGTGTTTACTATAATACTGTGGTAATAGCTATTACAGTAGGGAGCACTTCAATAATTTAATCTAATCTAAGAAAAACCTAGTCTTTAAATTAATGTTTGTGCATGTGTGTAGCAGCACATCTCTGTAGAGAACCACTAAAACTTTCCAAAAATGTATTAATTAATGAAATTATACACATCTTTTTGGATTCAGTAGAAATAATATATTATTGGTATTTTAAAGTTTGAAGGTGTGATTTTTTTTCTTCATTTGAATTTTATCTAAAGAATCTCAAGAAATGGCATCTAACTGCTAAGTAGTGCTTAGAAACTGTTATCTTAAAAATTAAGTATAAATGTTGGCTACAAATAAAGCAGACCAGTAGAATTGTTACTTTATTTTGAGCTGTCTAAAGCTGGGAACTTAGGAGCCAAAGTAAATTCCTATAAGCAGCCAAATTCCTAAGGCTCCATTGTGAATATGCACATCCTCCCAGGAGTATCTCATTCTATCTAGTGTGCTGTTTACAAACCAGACTTATCAAGAGATGACCCCGTGAATTCCAGTAATGGAAACTGATAGGCATCTGCTGAAAACATTTTTACCCAGGACAGGAACCAGATGAATGAAAAGAAGTAAAAATTTTCCCAAGTAATTGCTGTTTCATGTAAAATGGCAAATCTTCAAATTTGACCTAAAGGCAATCAGCAGATATGGGTAGGAAAGTAAACAAGCTTATACACACACACACACACACACACACAGACACAGACACAGACACAGACATACACACACACACACACACACACACACACACACACACACACGCACACATTCAGTTTTTAGACAACAGTCTCTTAGAAGCCAGAATTAAAATTTGTCCCAGAGACAGTGTAGGGAGGTGGTTAGGTGCATGGGTTTGAGTCTCAGTTGTACCACCCACCGCCTGGGTAATCATCTGTAGAATGGATTTAATAATGCAATCTACCTGATAGCTTCATTCTGAGAACAGTGCCTGGCCCATAGAAAGCAGTATGTAAGGCTTCCATATTATGTCCAGAGGTTTGAAAGAGAGTAAAAGAAATAGGGATACTACATATCCTGGTGGAAAACATGGGCTGTACAGTCAGAGCAACCTTTATTTAAATCCAGCTAATGCCACTAGTTGGGTGACTTTGAGCATGCACTATCTCAGAGCCTCTCTTCTTATTTTTAAGATTGAAATGATAATCATGGAATTGTTGTGAAAAAACGGGTAGATGAAAGCTACCTACACATAGCAGATATTCAGTGTTAGGCTGCCTTTCCTCACAACACTAGATGTAGTTGTTTAAGGCCAAAAAATTCTTTATTCATCTGTTTTTATGGCTAATAAAATTTATTCTGTGCTCTTCTTTTAGGGTGAAAATGGTTTACATGGTGCTCCAGGCTTACCTGGTCAAAAGGTAAAGAGTTCTTAAATATTTTATATAAGTTAAAGAATTTTAACATCTTGAAAATTGAATTCATGCTTAATAATATAGTGAGGATTCAGAAAATGTACTTGCTGAAACTGAATTCCCTCAGAGACTCTTTTTGAAAGCTACCAACTGGTCTTTCCAAAGGGGAACATGGATGCCCTCTCAAAAGGGACCACACTAGAAGAAAGCTTAATCAGAGAGCTGTAGCAATATGCTTCTCCAGAGAGGTCAACAACAGTGCTTTCTGGGAGCAGCAGGAGTATGCATACCTGCTCTGGAAATGTTTTCACTGCAGATTGGAGCAGTTTTTACTGCCTTTAACTAGATTTGGTTATTTCTTGTTTATCTTCCTTTTTGTGTATCCCAGATAGAGCTAGACATAATGACTACCATGATATCAAATATTAAAATATTACAAAGGTGCTATAGACAACTAGTCTCTTTAAAAATATCATTCAGAATGACAGAGTCATAAGAAGAAAGTTTTATATTGCCTAGACTGCTTCTTTCTGTGGCTCAAAAGTTTCTCTTTCCCAAGGTGAACTTCATTCATATCCCTTTACTGACCAAGGGCTCCCTCTGGGAAGGAGCAGGATTGTATGTGGCCAGCATTATTGGAAACACAGAGACTGATCTCTTCCAGTTTCCTGGAGGGATGGGGAGCCACTTCAGGTGGAGCCAGCTGTCATGATACCACCCATATAATCGCACCACAGGGGAGAGCATTATTGGTGCAATACTAGATGCTCACCAAAGCCAGGCGTATCATTGCTATGCTCTAGAGGAGTTTTACAGGTCTTGGCAACAAGATGTCAGAAGTTGCTATTGCATCTAGGTTTTTGTCCGTAGTGGAAAATTACCATGCAAAGAGATACGCATTTATAGCTTTCGAAAAATCTTCTTTTACTTGGCTCAATAACGACTGAACTGGCAGAGATGTAATTGAAAGCTTCTGGATTTCTTCAGAGCAATTCTAGACAAAACCCATTGATACAGCATGTGCTGCTTCTGCGAGTCAAATTGCAAGCCAAGCGATGTGTAGATTTATCTGCTGGGAAATAGTCTTGGACTTTCCAGCAGCTGTTTGCGGTGGCTGCATCATGCTGACATTGTGGCTGATGTACGGGAGCATTTAGGAGCTTCGATGTCAGCTTGAATTAACAGATCAAGTTAAAGTCTGTATTTTAGGAAAAAAAGTAGACCATGTATTCAGTGTCAAATATACCTAAATCCTAACTTTTTATTTTAATGGCATCTTTTATGAGAGTAGATGAAGCAGAAATAATTTTTTAATCATATATGTGTGTGTGTATATATATTATATATATACATACATACATATATTTGGTTATCATTCATATACACACACACATAGACACGTTGTAAAAAGCCGGCATTCCTTTTCTAACATATGAATTTTAATTACACCACGTCACATTGTTGAAGCATTTCAGAAAATACTGGAGATGAGAAACCCTTCATCCCTGTCTCTGTGCGCTCAGATAATACTTACTGAGCACTTCTTATGCTCAAGGACCTCCAGGGGTAGAGGGATGAGCATGACCTGTCCCCAACATTCACTTGCTGGCTATGTTGTTGTGAGTGCCTGTCTTAGTCATCTAGTGCTGCCGTAACAGAAATAGCAGAAATGGTTGGCTTTATCAAAGAGAAATTTATTTTCTCATAGTCTAGTAGGCTAGAAGTCCAAAATGAGGGCATCAGCTCCAGGGGAAGGCTTTCTCTCTCTGTTGGGTCTGGAGGAAAGTCCTTCTCAGCAGTCTACTCCTGGACTAGGAGCTTCTCTGTGCAGGAACCCCAGGTCCAAAGGACACCCTCTGCTCCCGGCACTCCTTTTTTGGTAGTATGAGGTCCCCAATTCTCTGCTTGCTTCCCTTTCCTTTTATCTCTTAAAAGATAAAAGGTGGTGCAGGCCACACCCCAGGGAAACTCCCTTTACATTGAATCAGGAATGTGACCTTAGTAAGGGGGTTACAATCCCACCCTAATCCTCTTTAACATAAAATTACAATCACAAAATGGAGGACAGTCACACAATACTGGGAATCATGGCCTAACCAAGTTGATACATATTTTGGAGGGACAGTTCAATCCATGACAGTGCCTGGCATATAAGAGGCACTCGATGAATATCTGTTGAATGTTGAAATGGAACATCATTAGTATAAAAATGTGTGCATAATTAAGTGGAAAAATAAACTTATGTGGATCAGAGAATGTTTAGTTGCAGAAAAGGGGACTTTATGCTTTTTAAGTATAAATATGAAGGAGACCTGGTAGCACAATGGTTAAGAACTCAGCTGCTACCTGAAAGGTTTGTGGTTTGAACCCACTCAGCAGCTCTGTGGGAAAAAGACCTGGTGATCTGCTTCCGTAAAGACTACAGCCTGGAAAACCCTATGGAGCAGTTCTGCTCAGGCATATAAAAACACATTGTTGTCGAGTCAATTCTGACTCATAGCGACCCTATAGGACAGAGTAGAACTGCCCCATAGGGTTTCCAAGGAGCAGCTGGTGGATTCAAACTGCTGACCTTTGGTTAGCAGCCATAACTCTTAACCGCTGCACCACCAGGGCTCCACTCTGTCATACAGGGTCACTATAAGTCAAAATGAATTTGACAGCATCTAACAACAGCAGTTTAAATATGATGGTAGAGAGTGAGCAGCCCTCCAACCACCAAACCTCTTTCTCTGGCTCAGAGGCAGGAGAGTGGGGTGGTAAAGAGTATGGAGCTGGTGTCAGAGCTTCAGACATTCACCATGAAACTCTAAGTAAAACAGTATTCTAAGAAGTCAATTCGAGAAGGGCTGTTTCTACTGGATCTAATGAAATAATAATAGTAGTAATAATAATAACAATAATGGCTAACTTATTCAGTATCTGCACTATGCTGATTCATTCAAATCTCAAAATAAACCTATGAGGAGGGTATTATTATCATACTTATCTTATACATAGGGAAATTATGGAGATTATATTGCTTTGGAAGTTGTAAAACTATAGCATGTACCTTAGAAATAGTCATTATCACTATAGGAATTACATGTGTTATAAGTAATGTTTCTATTACTATATGCGTTATATTCCTTTTCTTCAGGGAGAGCAAGGTTTTGAAGGCAGCAAAGGAGAAATTGGTGAAAAGGTAAATATCTCTCTTTACATATGTATCTATAAAAATAAATTGTGTTCTGGAAAATATCTTTAAGTGGAATGTCTAACTTGTTTTGTGCTTTCTATACAAGTAATCTAATCATTTTAAATGAATAATTTAAAATATTTGCTTCAATTAAGGTTGACTTAATTATATATTGATGATTATCAGAGATCTTTCTAAACTTGTTTGGATCGTAATTATATCTACACATATCTAGTTAAATACATTCCATTGATATATAAACGATTCAAGCATTTAACTAAGCATTATATTTTTGTGTTATGACATCATTGATGTACTGAGTAGCCAGTCTTTAAATAAATCCTTTATTTATATGTACACCTGGTTTATCAGTGGAATTTTTCCTGGGGGCATAAATAAGAATTACAACAGTCAGAGTCCAACAGAAAAGAGATGGCACACTCGGAATAACTTGGAAAAGTTTTAAAAAGGGATAATTTTAAAAGGTGTGGACTACGTAGAGGAAAGCTACGAAGAGTGCAGTATCGCAAATCAGGGAACAGTGGATTCCTTAAACACCATAGGACTGAAAGGGCAAAGGGAGGGTTGTAGACAGGAGCTGTGGGAAGAAGCCATCTCAAGACAAGCACGTAAAGAGGGAGCCAGGGCAATAATAGCTCCACCCTACTCTCCTCCAAACCTCAACTTTCCTGCCAGTGACTCCCACAAAAACCAAAAACACCAGAACCTGTTCCCATCAAATCAATTCCAACTCATAGCAACTCTATAGGACAGAGTAGAACTGCCCCATAGGGTTCCCAAGGAGCAGCTAGTGGATTTGAACTGCAGACCTTTTGGTTAGCAGCTGTAACTCTTAACCACTGCACCACCAGGGTTTGCTAAATTGAGAGCCAGCAGGGTGGATGCAGCCCATAGAGGTCAGCCTTTTAGCCCCCAGGGCAGGGAGGAGAAGGGTGGAGTATGGATCTGGAGGGAACAGGGGCAGAAGCCTTGGATCCTAAGTGCAGTATTTCATGTCACCTTCTCAGGAAGTGAAATAGTAGGTAGTTAATTTTACATTTAAATAGAGTATTTTGTTTTAATAAATAATAGTCATTTGGCAATTGGTTATTGAAAAATATCCAAGCAATCATGGTTTTACAAATTTACAGCTTTCTACTAAAAAATGGAGAATAGAAGTGCACTGGTCATCCAAAATCTCCCTTCAGTCTATCATTTGCATCCCCTGCATTTCAGCAATCTAGTTTTGCTTTTGAATAAAAGAAAAATAATTCCATTCCTTTGTTTCATCTCATCTATATACATTCATGTTTTGTAATTGGACAGCCAGAAGGAGGAGTAGAAAGGGGAATAAATAAACCCAAATTAGACAGTATTGTCTGTATTTAGCTTTCTTGGTGTTGATCAGTTATTTGCTTTCTCAAGAAGTATTTATAGAGAGAATAAGTGCCTATTATAATTATAAGTTACACATATTGTAAGCTACATGATAATTACTTTATCTCACAGATCTATGATTAAAAATAAAAAGGATAGCCATACAATTGAGGAGAATTTCATTAAATGACTATTTTTAAAAGTGGATCTCTTTTCTTAGGAATCCCCAGAACGTTTTTGCTTTAGAATAACAGTCATTGCAGGGGCGTGCCATTAAGCAAATGCTTTATCCACACACATTTCTGATTTATTAGTGAGATTTTATCTGTAGGAATAAGTGAAAACAGCAAGGAAAATGGATATTCTCTGTAATTTAAAGTCACCAACTCACTAAAGTCTTATATTTATTTTGTTATTTTATGTGCATGGTTGGGATTACTCAGTAATAGATCCTCACAGGCTACGAGGTGCAGAAAAACATTTAATAAATTTTGCTTCAAATATTTTCCTCCTAATTCTTCATATCTATTAATGTTACATTCAAATAGTCAATTTTACCATAAGGTGAAAATATTTATAGAGAAGGATTGAAAGATATAAGGAGAAGTGAAGCATCAAAGAGAAAAGACAAGACGTTGAATGAGAATCACAATTCAAATGGTTTATAGTCAGATGTAAGATTCATGTAATAATCCTTATGTTAAAAAAGAAAAAAAAACTTCTGCTTTGAAGATTATCCATAAGAAAAATAGTTGATGTTGTGTGGTTGACTTTTGTTTCTAGAGTTAAGTTAAACATGAAAGGTACATGAAGCTCTCACTTTTGTGTGACACCAGCATGAGAATCCTGGATAGCTTATGATTTATTTTCTGAACAAAAACAATCAATCTAATTTGAATTTCAATTCTTTGTGAAAAACTGAATATATAATTATAAAGAGCTAACTTTCTTCTTTAATTACTTCATTGTGGCCCTTACTGTGTTTAAATTATGACTGTTTTGGTGACACAATTCATGAGTGACAATTCAGGAAACTGTTAATTGCTCAGAGCTGTCATATCTACCAAGAGCACATAGTTACCGGTCAAAAAAAGAAAAATTATGTCAATTACTAAAGAGAAAATACTGTGTGATATTTCTTTAATCCAGTAGAAACCAAATAGAGAAATCTACTGCTTCTTCTTATGACTAGAAAACTAGCTTTCAGGCGAGTTTAACTCACTCACTAGACTGAGCAAGAAAGTTAAACAGGCTATTATTAGTCCAAAGGATGGCCCCTGGAGCTTGAACAAGTACTTCTTGTTGTCAGTTTGTGTCAAGTTGACTGTGACTCATGGTGACCTTATGTATAACAGAAAGAAACACTGCCTGGTCCTGCGCCATCTTCACAATCGTACTATGTTTGGGCCTATTGTCACACCACTTAACAAGTATAGAGGATTTCATTTGAAGATTGAGGACCTCATATTCTTGAATCTATAGCAAATTGTTACCAGGCAGAGTCTTAAACAAATTACCTGAGCAAACACAATTCAGCCAAATCAGTCTTCAAGTGAAAGTTATTTTAAAGGATGATTAGTTCTCTCAAAAATTAGTTAGTTATGCTGGCAGGACTTTTCCAGAAGACAGCTGTTTTCAGGTTTGCTATGCTCTATTTATCATTTGGCTATATATAGAAAATGTCCCATCCTTCTTCCCCATCCCTGGTTGGCAAATTTAAGTCTGCATCACTGAAGGATCACTCAACAACAGCCTAGCACATGAGGTAGGAGAGATATGAGTCATATTCCAGCTTCTGTATTTCTATGGGAGTGGTCCTAAAACATCCTGTCTTGGGATTATCCTTAGGTTTCTTCAGTATTAATGTAAGTGAAAAAAACAGGGAGTCCACTCAAGGTGAGAGTTATCTCCATACTGTCAACCTTCCCAGCAAGGATTTAGTTAAACTCATATTAAATGATCAAATGTAAGTGAAGAAACTCTTAACACCACAGCCATTAGAGAAAAGGTCAGTGAAGTGACCAGAATTCCTAAACCCTCACCCAGGTTTTATCTTACGTCTTTGTGAAAATAGGAACAGTACTTGGCTACATTTGTGAAAAGAAGCATCAATTAGAAAAGCAAATGTAAACACCTACCTCATTATAGAATTCAGTGTTTTAAGTAATTGCTTCAAATTACGTGATTTAGTTTGCTTTCAAAATCATCATTCTTTTATGTTGTTATTCCAGCCCTGACCAACTTAAAATTAAAAACCTAATTCAAAAACTAATTTCCTTGGTTTTGCTGAACTACTTATTAAATATCGTTTGATCATGAGAGAGAAAAATCCAGCAGCCACTGCTACTTATGCCAAGTGTTCCCTGACTTTTTACCTAAAATGTAGTTCATTGAAAAGTGACATTTAAATTAACATGGCCACATGTGGTAGCAACTCCCTATGATTAAAACAATCCATTCTCTTGAAATCTCTTAGGTTTAATGAAAAGAAAAAAGACAATCAATGAGCTTTTCTTCATGAACCGTATAACTTAAGGAGGTGAGGACAGCATCCAACATTTGACAGTCTGTAGTCCATGGTGTTTAGGGGTTAGCAGTTCTGGCTTACTCTTTTATAACTTATGGGGCATTACCTACTCTATCTTTCTAGATTTTTTTTTTCTAATCTGGGTTAAACTAACAACAATAAACACACTACAAAACTAACAAATGCATATGGCTCCTGCTTTAATTCATTTCCTAAAACTGTTGTAGGAAAGCTGGTTGTAGTAAATTTCCAGTGACTTATAATTTTTAATGTCTTGTTTGTTAACCAGAGTATTATCTAGGTCCTGAAATGCCATGCGATGTAAGATGTTTATTTCAGTAAGAAAATTTTGTTTAAATATTTATTACTCTGGTTTTAGAGCTGTTGCAGATAATTTTAACCTGACAAAATCCAGTAGCAAACTGAATTCCACCGAAAATCCGCTGGAATTGCACTGAACCCATTCTTAGTTGATTTATTTAATGACAATTATTGTAGAATTCTATATAAAACATAATACTGAAATAAGTAAAATTATAAAAATGCCTATTATAAACTAGTATAAAGTACAAGTATACTCATCTGTCAGTTTGTCTTACTGTGGTGGCTTGCATGTTGCTGTGATACTGGCAGATATGCCACCAGTATTTCAAATACCAGCAGGGTCACTCATGGTGGACAGTTTTCAGTGGAGCTTCCAGACTAAGACAGACAAGGAAGAAGGACCTGGCATTCTACTTCTGAAAGAATTGGTCAGTGAAAACCTTATGAATAGCAGTGGAACACTGTCTGATACAGTGCTGGAAGATGAGCCCCTCAGGGTTGAAGGCACTCAAAATACAACTGAGGAAGAGCTACCTCCTCAAAGCAGAGTTAACTTTAGTTACGTGGATGGAGGAAAGCTTTCAGGACCTTATTTGTTGATGTGGCACAACTCAAAATGAGAAGAAACAGCTGCAAACATCCATTACTAATCGAAACATGGAATGTATGAAGTATGAATCTAGGAAAATTGGAAGTCATCAAAAATTAAACGGAACACATAAAGGTAGAAATCCTAGGCATTAGGGAACTGAAGTTGATTGGTATTGGCCATTTTGAA